AGCTGCATACACGTCGGCCGCTGAAAGTAGGTACTTCTGGATTCCCATATCCCACTCTGCCTCTAGCGCCCCCCCCCCCCCTCTCGAAGAGTCGAGCGGTTTTCCCTCTTCCCTCCTCTTTGGGAGGTGGGCGGAGACCCAAGCTACTTCCAACGCCTTCCTACTTCATGTTTCCACCTACTTCTTCCGACCGACGGGTAAGCATACACCTGCGGGGAACCGCCCAGATTTCTTGGATCGGCGCTGGAACCTCCTCCCCGGCGCGCGGAGCGCGCCAGGGGCTTAGGGGGGCGCGTACTGGGGGGATGATTTCAGCCACGCGCAGAGGGGTGGTGGGGGAGGGGGGGAGGGCTTCTTAGAAGCACCCCTGCTTCTTAGAAGGCGCGGGCCTTATCTATAGATGTAAGGCCGGCGCCTTCTAAGAAGCAGCCTCCTTCTAAGAAGCCCTCCCCCCTCCCTCCACCCCCTTGTGCGCGCCGCCAATGATTAATGGGGGGCAGCGAGGGCTGCAGAGCAGGGGCCTTTTAGGGCTCCGAAGGGGGCCTTTGGGGCCCGAGAGAGGCACCTTTCTCCCCCCCCGTTTATCCAGGGGCCGATCCGAGAAGTCCGCGCCGAACGTTTGTGCCTAAAGTTCTGTTCCGTTCCTCTCGAATGGGGGGGGTCAAGGGTCGGTGGCGAGCGAGGGAGGGAAGCGAGAAGGAGAAGGCCTTCTCAGAAGGCGCCGGGACTTCTCAGAAGCCCTCGCGCCTTCTGAGTTTTTCCCGGACAAGGGCATGGGCCCAGGGTTCTCTTTTAGATGGTTTACCCCCGGTTTCGACGGCTGTAGGGCCAGCGAAATTATTCACGATGAATTAAAGGATCGCGTAGGGCCAGCGAAATTATGTTTGAGGATGTCTCAAGCGTTTTTCAGAATTTGTTGTTGAGGATGTCTCGAGCGAAACGCTGATTTTGCCGAGTGGGGGGATGTCTCGAGCGGGGGCCTTGTGGGGGGCCAGAGTTCAGAGCATGTCTCAGGCGAAATGCTTGTTTTCACGTGCCCAGGTCAGCCATGGGGGTATCCAACATGGTTGTCCGTCGCAGGCGCCCCAGACGACCGGATGTCGGATATCCCCCCTGGGTGGGCTGGAACTGTGAGTTTTTACGTGTGCAGGCCATGGGGGGGTATCTAACATGGTGGCCCAGAGCTGGAATCACGCGTTAACACGTGTCCAGGTCATCCAGGGGGATATCTAATTTGGTGGTCCCGAGCTGGAACCACATGTTTTTACATGTTCAGGCCACCCAGGAGGGGTATCTAACTCTAACATGATGGTCCTGCGCTGGAACCGCGTTTCTGCAAGTGTCCAGGCCACCCAGGGGGGTATCTAACATGGTGGTCCTGTGCTGGAACCTCGTGTTTTTGCGTGCCCAGGTTACCCAGGGGGGTATCTAACATGATTGTCCCGAACTGGAACCATGTGTTTTAACATGTCCAGGCCGCCCAGGGGGGATATCCAACATGGCGTCGGGCCCAACGCCGAATTATCAGGAAACGCACGGGGGGCTTAAAGCGCTACCCCAGGGGAGACGTTGCGAGGATGTCTCGAGCAGGAGCACGAATTCAGCGTATCCAGGTCACGCAGGGGGGTATCTAACATAGTTGTCCCCAGCTGGAACCATGTGTTTTTACGTGTCCAGGCCACCTAGGGGGTATCTAGCATGGTTGTCCCGAGCAAGGACCACGTGCTTTTAACGTGTCCAGGCCACCCATGGGGTGTATCTAATATGGTTGTCCCGAGCTGGCACCATGTGTTTTAACATGTCCAGGCCACCCTGGGGGATATCTGACATGGTTGCCCAGAGCTTGAAGCACGTATTTTTACGTGTCCAGGCCATCCAGGGGGATATCTAACATGGTTGTCATGAGCAAGGACCACGTGTTTTAACATGTCCAGGCCACCCAGGAGTGTGTCTAATATGGTTGCCCATAGCTGGTCCCACGTGTGTTTACGTGTCCAGGCCACCCAGGAGGGTTTCTAACATGATTGTCCCGCATTGGAACCATGTGGTTGCACGTGTCCAGGCCGTCCAGAGGGGGATATCTAACATGGCGGAGCCAGGTGATTCAACGTGTCCAGGCCACCTAGGGGGTATCTAACATGGGCCTCCTGGGGCCTTCCTGGGGGCTTGAAACTGACGTCTAACATGACGAGGTGTTGAGGATGTCTCGAGCGAACCACTTGTTTTCACGTGTCCAGTTCGCCCAGGTAGTAGATGTCTAGCATGAGGTGGCACGTCCATTGGCACGTTCCGTAGCGCGTCCCCCTGGCTCGTCCCGCGGTGCGTCCCCGTGGCACGTCCCTGGCACGTCGCCTGGCGCGTCCTTCTGGCATGTCCCCCTGTCAATTAGCCCTGGGGCAGCTATGTGCTGAGGCAGCTCGAGCTTAAGATCCAGATCAGTTCGGTCAGGACTCGGATGCAAAGGAGGACTCGATCCACAACGCTATACAGCACAATCGCGGCATGGCACATCGCAGTTCAGCACGGCGCAGCACAGCACAGCCTTCGGCACGGTACATCAAGATCGATACATTCAGCATTGCAACCTGGCACGTTCCTTGGCACGTTCTGTGGCGCGTGCCGTGGCGAGTCCCCCTGGCACGTCGCGCGGCGCGTCCCCTGGCACATCCGTGGCACGTCCATTGGCACGTTCCGTAGCGTTTCCCCTGGGCACGTCCCGCGGTGCGTCCCCGTGGCATGTCCCTGGCACGTCGCCTGGCGCGTCCCTTGGGACGTTCCGCGGCGCGTCCTCCTAGCATATCCCCCTGTCAATGAGCTCTGGGGCAGCTAGTATGTGCTGAGGCAGCTCGAGCTTAAGATCCAGATCAGTTTGGTCAGGACTCGGATCCAAAGGAGGACTCGATCCACAACGCTATAGAGCACAATCGCGGCATGGCGCATCGCAATTCAGCACGGCGCAGCACAGCACAGCCCTTGGCACGGTACATCAAGATCGATACATTCAGCATTGCGTTTGCCCGTCGCCCAATCAGGTGTCTTTGAAATGTTGCGATGCCTTACTTTTTATATTCCTTTCCGGGTTTGTGGGTCGCTCATGTTTTGTGTCTTCGGGGGAGGCTTAGGCAGCTTCTCAGAAGGCCGGGGGACTTCCGAGCCTTCTGAGAGGGCCTTCTCCTTCTCACTTCCCCCCAGGCTCGCCGCCGAGAGGGGGGATGACGAAATCTGCTGCATGCAGCTGGCTTCGGGCCCACCGCCTGGTCCGTCCCTCGATCCATGGTGCCTCCCCAGTGCTGGGAGGCGCTGGAAAAGCGAGCCGCGTGCAGCTGATTGGCTGATCTCCCCCTTGCCTTCCCCCGCCTTTTGTGCTGTCCGAGTCTTGAGGTGGTCACCAGGTGAGCGACGGAAGAGAACGGGGTCGTCTTCACCGACACTGGCGCATAAGCTGCCCGCGTAAGGTGGCGCGTGAGAGCCCTCGTTCCCAATCATGTGTGCCTCGCGGGCGGCCCGCGCAAGCCGCGGCGTAGGGTCGATATGCCATCTCGCGCAAGACCCGATCTGTTTTGTCGCTCAGGTGGTCTTGGCCCGTCTTGAGTCGGGGGTGGACAGAACCCCCAACAGTGACACGTCGATTAGTGAATTGTCCGTTTTCGGTTCTCGAGAGGGCGCCGTGGCCGTTATTTTCCAGGCTTGCGCCCGCCAGGTTTGGGCCTCAGGTCGTTTTCACTAAACCACGTTTTACTAAAGGGTGTTCTGTCCATCCCCGAGTCTTGGCCCGTCTTGAGGCCGCCCTGAAGCCAAGCAGAGCGCTCGGGAGCAAAACGGGGGGTTCCGAGTCTCGAGGCTCTCGCGGCCAGGGTGGCGGGCCGCCCTTGGCCGGCTGCACAGCCCGACTGGAGAGCTGACGCACACGCCACGGGCACGGTGGCGGGCCCTTCCGTCTTCCCCCTTCTCCTCCTCCACCTCCTCCTCCCTCTATCGCCTCCTCGCCCTTCTTCCCACAGGCTCATGATGGCGGGAATGCCGCCGCCGAGCCCCGTCGACATGTCCCCCCGCATGGCGGCAATGATGTCCATGGCGTCGGTCGGAAGCCCGCAGCCTTGTGCAGACATGGCGCCCTCTGCATCTGCCTTCCCTTCTGCTTTCCTTTCCCTGTTCTTCCTCCCTGCCTCCCTCTCAGGTCCTACCCACTTTGTATTTTCTCTCTCTCTCTCTCTGTCTCTCTCTGTCTCTCTCTGTCCTTCGTGTAAACACATGTGCCCAGGGGCCAGGGCCAGGGGACTCAAGGGTAACCTCCAGACCTCCATGTCAGTGGCAGGGATCCTGATCCCCTCCGAGACTGCCAGAACACGTCCGACACGGCCCCAGAGAGCCCCAAGACACGCCCAGGACAGTCCAGGAGGCCCCCGGGACGGCCAAGGACTGCTCCAGTCAAGATGCTTCCATTTTGCCGAACATGCTTGCAAGAACGCTCAAGAGGTCGTCAAGAGGCCCCCGAGGAAGTCGCCAGCGGAGCTAAGATCCTTTCAGCAACACAGGAACATGAGCGCTTTTTCCCAGAAAGGGCGCCGTTCCAGGGCTCTCTTTTAGCTGGTTTATTCCCCCCCCCCCCCCCCCCCCGCAAGGAGGGCCGGCATATTCCCGCTCGTTCAAAAACGAGGTATAGTCCAATTCGGCGTGAACAAAAATGCGTTTCGCGCGTGCCCCTCGAGGGAAGTCGCCCTCCCACCTCGGATCCTCAACAGATAGCGGGGCCCGCGGACCCCCGTTTTCTTTCGTAAACCAGAGGGTGCGGGGCATTTTTCGCAGAATCCTTGAAAAGAACCGAGGTCTGGAGCCCCGACCGCGACGCGGAAAGCGTCCAGCCGCGCAGGAATTTCGAGGATGTCTCGAGCGTGCCGCGTCCCGCGCGCAGGAATTTCGAGGGTGTCTCGACTAGTTCGCTTGTTTTTCTAGGGTTTCCTGGGCCACACAGGAGTGTTTGCGTGCCCGCTCGAGGATGGTGCGCCCCCCGCGCCAAAACAAATAGGATGTCTCGAGCGAAACGCCTGTTCTGCAAAACTTGAGAGACCTGGACGCCCCAGCGTGGACGCGGCGTAATCTGCGAGGGATCGTGGCGTTTGGAGCGCGGACGGAGCGTGATTTGCGAGGGATCGTGGCCCTCGGAGCGCGGGCGCAGCGTAATTTACAAGGGGTCGGGGCCCTGTGAGCTCGGACGCAATGTAATTTACTAGGGATCGTAGCCCTTGGAGCGCGGGCGCAGCGTAAAATACGAGGGATTAGGGCCCTGGGGGCTCGGACGCAGCGTAATTTACTAGGGATCGTGGCCCTGGGAGCGCGGACGCAGCGTAATCTACAAGTGGTCGGGGCCCTGGGAGCGCAATCCCATTGTAATTTACGAGGGATCGTGGCCCTGGGACGTCCCGTGGTGCGTCCATTGGCACGTTCCGTAGCGCGTCCCCTCTGCACGTCCCGCGGTGCGTCCCCGTGGCACGTCCCCTGGCACGTCGCCTGGCGCGTCCCTTGGGACGTTCCGCGGCGCGTCCTCCTAGCATGCTCCTCTGTCAATTAGCTCTGGGGCAGCTACTATGTGCTGAGACAGCTCGAGCTTAAGATCCAGATCAGTACGGTTAGGACTCGGATGCAAAGGAGGACTCGATCCACAACGCTATAGAGCACAATCGCAGCATGGCACATCGCAGTTCAGCACGGCGCAGCACAGCACAGCCCTCGGCACGGTACATCAAGATCGATACATTCCATCAGTATTGCAACCTGGCACGTTCCTTGGCACGTTCCGTGGCGCGTCCTGTGGCGAGTCCCCCTCCCCTGGCACGTCGCGCGGCGCGTCCCCTGGCACGTCCCGTGGCACGTTCATTGGCACGTTCCGTAGCGCGTCGTCTTGGCACGTCCCGCGGTGCGTCCCCGTGGCACGTCCCCTGGCACGTCGCCTGGCGCGTCCCTTGGGACGTTCCGCGGCGCGTCCTCCTAGCATATCCCCCTGTCAATGAGCTCTGGGGCAGCTACTATGTGTTCAGGCAGCTCGAGCTTAAGATCCAGATCAGTTCGGTCAGGACTCGGATGCAAAGGAGGACTCGATCCACAACGCTACAGAGCACAATCACGGCACGGCGCATCTCAATTCAGCACGGCGCAGCACAGCACAGCCCTCGGCACGCTACATCAAGATCGATACATTCAGCATTGCGTTTGCCCGTCGCTCAATCAGGTGTCTTTGAAACGTTGCGATGCCTTGCATTTCTATCTTCCTTTCTGGGTTCGTGGGTCGACCATGTTTCTTGCTTCAGGATAATCCGGATTGCGGAATCCGCGAAGCCCTTCTTTGCATGTCTTTCTGCACGCCTCTCACCCTTCTCCATGTCATCATCATCTCATCATCTACTCTCGAAGCCTAACACTGCGAGGGTCCGCAAGGAGGCTACCGAATTGAGCCCGCAGAGCGGGCGTCTCGGCGGGCTCCCAGAGGGAGACACGCACGCAAATGTTGCAATGAATCGGTGTTCGGGTAATGGCTTGGACGAGGATCGGTACCACTCGTCGAACTTTTCCTTAAGGGCTATCTTGGCGTCCCTTTGGTGGGGCAGGCGGTCTTCGGAGCCAGCATAGGGCCTTTTTGAGGTCCATGGGGGACGAAGTGCGTGAGGGGTGTGCAACATCGACGCTCCCTTGAACCGTATGAGGGGTCAGCGGATTGCCCCTGGAGGTCCTTGGGGCATGAAATGCTTGAGGGATGTGCCACGTGAAGGCCCCAAGGAGCAGTCTTCGGAGCCAGCCGAGCTCCCATGACGACCAAGTGTGTGAGCAGAGTGCCGAATTGAGGCTCCTAGGAGAACTGTTGACGCTTCGCGTCGTGTCCCCACCAGCCCATCCAGGAACGATGCCCACGGGAGGGACTCGTCGTCTGGGTGCGTTTCGTTTCGGTTCGGATTCGCCCCCGATCGGTTCGTCCCACTTCGGAACTGAAGCAGATCTTGAGTTCGAGCCTGTTGAACGCCCCGCATGTCACGACTGCAGCCAGCTTTTGGGGAACCAAGCGAGTGGGCAGCTTGAGCTTAAGATCCAGATCAGTTCAAGCAGGATTGGGGTCGCCAAGGATGGTTTGATCCACAACGCAACAGAGAACAGCACAGTTCAACCCAGCATGACGCAGCACAGGGCAGCACAGCACGTATCAATAACACTTTACGCCAAATCGCGGCCCTGGTTATCTGCAAGGGGCCTTGGCACCTCGGAGTGTGGCCCCCTCGTCAGGCGACGCCATGCAGTTCCAGGATGGTGAGCCGAAGCGTACTCGTCTCGGTTTATCTTGCCTCGCTTCAATTCGGGTCGGTTCCGCCTTCGTCTCGGTTCGTATCGTTTCGGTTCGTCTTGATACAGGTCGTGGCTGTTTGGTTCGCTGAGCTTCGGTCCGTCGACTCTCGGTGCGTTTCGCGTCGGTTCGGAGTCGCCCCCTCTTGGTTCGCCCCGTTACGGAACCGAATCAGATCTTGAGCTCGAGCTGGCCGAGCGCCCCGCGCGGTTCGATTGCGACCAGCTTGAGATATGCGTCCAGGCAGCTCGAACTTACCATCCAGATCAGTTCGGTCAGGTTTCTGATGCCAAGAGCGACCTGATCCACAACGCAAGAGAGCACGGCACAGTTCAACGCGGTATGGCATGTTTCAATTCATCACAGCACAACATAAAACAGCCCTTAGCACAGTACATCACCAGCGTTACCTTGAGCATTGCAATTGCAGTCTCCATGGTTTGCATTTCTATATCCCTTTCCGGGTTCTGGGGTCGATCCTGTTTCAGGTCTCTAGGGCTTGGTGACAGGTTCACTTCTTCCATCGCTCGAACGTGTGGCCCACTGCCACACACCTCCAGCCTCAGGCTTCCCAGGCCCCTGGAGGAGGAGGAGGAGGATGAGGAGGAGGAGGAGGAGGAGGAGGAGGTGGAGGACGAGGACGAGGACGAGGACGAGGAGGAGGAGGCACGCAGAGGAGGAGGAGGAGGACGAGGACGAGGAGGAGGGAGGAGGAGGAGGAGGAGGAGGAGGAGGAGGAGGAGGAGGAGGAGAAGGAGGGGGCCTCCCTGCGGCAGCCTGCCAGGGCCCCGCTTCCGCGCAGGTCGCGAGCATGCAGGAGGGCCAGACGCCTGTGGCGGGCCGCCTGCGCGACGAGCCGCCCGGGCTGTCGCTGCCGGCCGAGGTTGCGGTTCCGGTTCTCCTCTTCTGCCTCCATCCTGTTCCGTTCCGTCGTGTGTGTTCTGTTGTCTTGCCTCCTCCTCGTCCTTCTCCTCGTCCTCCTCGTCCTCCTCCTCGTCCTCCTCCTCGTCCTCTCCTCCTCCTCCTCCTGCTCCTCCTCCTCCTCCTCCTCCTCCTCCTCCTCGTCCTCGTCCTCCTCATCTTACAGTCAGCCCGCATCGCAAGGATGGGTCCCGGGGGTGCCCTCCTGTCCATCCTTGGCCACGTTCGTTGGCCGCGCCCCGCTCGAGAAGCTTCGACCTGGGATTCCAAGGCCCTTGCATCCTTATCGCGCATCCTTCTGATACGGGCCGACTGTACCTCCTCTTTTCCATTCCTCCTACCTCCGTCAGTCCTGTAGGCCGTGCCTTTTCCCCTCATCAGGCCACAGTTCCGCTGTGGCATGAGCGGTTGCCCTTGCTGTTCTTCCCGTCTGCCCTTACGATGAGGGCACGGCAGGGAACCGTTCGATAATCCAGGCCTCCCAGATGGAGTCGGAGTAGGTGGGGTCGGAGGATCGCTCCGCATCCGTATCGCCGATGCATCGACAACGCGGCTCGATGTGGAGCCAGAACTTCCCCACGTCGATGGCGCCGATGCATCGCCGACGTCGCCGATGCATCGCCGATGCATCGGCGTTGTGTCGGCGATGCATTGGCGATGTGGCGCGATCCTCCGACCCCATCTACTCCGACCCCATCTGGAAGGGCTCCAGTCCTGCTCTCCTCCTCTGCCCCTACGATGAAGGCACCGGGGCAAGGAACTCTCAGACAGGTCATCTAGGGTCTTGGAGCTGGTGGAACACCAACGGCCGCCCTCGTCGAATAAGGGCTCCTCGCCGCCCTCCCTCGTCGAATAAGGGCTTCTATAGGGCCTCGTCGTCTATAGGGCCTCGTCGAATAAGGGCCCTCCCTGGAGGACATCACCGCCGCCCTCGTCGAAGAAGGGCTCCTCCAGGGCCCGAGGGCCTCCCGGGCACCTCGTGGAGCGAGCGCCCCCCCGCCGTCTGCCAGCGGCCCGCGCGCGCCGCCTCGTCCTCCCCCCTGCCTTCGGCATCTCTGCATCGCTCGGACTTGTGCATTTTTTCTTCGGCGAGGGCCATCGAGGAGCATCCTTGATCATGTGGCGACAGAACCACGCACGAAACCGGGCTCCCGGCTCCGCTTCTCCTGCCTCGTGCCCCCGGGGCCCGCCCAGGGCCCCAGGCCTGTCCACAGAACCGCTCGGGACGAGGAGGGCTGGTCCTGCCAGCCTCGTCAGGCATGGATCGAAGCGCTGCCCGACATCGCAGCGCTCGAGAGTTCGGGCACTCGTAGGGGACCACATGCGAACCCTACCCCTACCCCCCACGATTTCTGAGGGGGAGGGTGGGGTTCACTTCGTTGGGGAGCTCCCGAGCAAAGTGAACCCCACCCTCCCCCTCAGAAATCGTGGGGGGTAGGGGTAGGGTTCGCATGTGGCCCCCGAGACTCGTCCCAAGACGCGTTCCTCGTTGCTGTGAGGGCACCGCCGGCTTTCGGGCACCCCTGCCTGTCGGCCTAGTACTACCTCCTGCTGGCACTGGAGCAGCGCCCGCGCCACGCGGGCACCGGAAGCAACAGACGTCGATTCACGTTCGACGAGTCCTGTGGGGAAAGCCCTGGGATCCAGGAGCTGGGCCGAGCTCCTTTTCCTCGTGCCGGCTATCCGCCCACCTGCTGGAGTCGAACCAAAAGGCCGTCTTCATGTCCGTCCCACGTCCTGCGTGTGCTGCTGCTGTCGTGGTGCTGCTCTCCTCGGTCTTCTCCGAGCTGGTTCTGGTGGCTCACGCACTACAGGTGGGGACCCATGCCCAGAAACGCCCTGCTCGCCTCCAGGGTGCCCTGGGTTTCTTGGGTTTCGAGGTTTTGCGATGGAGGGCGAGACGTCCCCACACCAAAAATCAATGGACGCCCTGGGGTCTCAGGGTCGGATTTCTTGTGGAAGGTTTCTTGTGGACTGGCCTCTCCTGTATGACTGCGCAGCACTGCCATCAGCGCCGTCTTTTCCACTCCCTTTCTTAGCTGCTTCAGTCGGCCTGAACGCCAACTGCCACGCAAGAGTCGAGCGATGAGGAGCTTCGCAGCGCAGCTGCAGCCATGCGACTCCCCTCACCGTAGCCGACTGTTTTGGAGACGTTTCGATGCATTCCTCCTCGTGCTCCTCCTGCTCAGTCCGTCAATGTTTCTGTTCTTCGTTTCCTTTCCGTCGAGGTCGACCGAAATCGTGGAGTTCAGACCATGCAGACACGGGGCCACTGGACGCCATGCCAAGGCAGGCGCCACGTCGGCGATCGTCACCTGGATGCTCAGCCGCCTCGTGGGCAGAGGGCTATCCGCGCCACCACACCACGGGGGGGAGGGCAGACACCTTCCACACACCGGTTCAGTCGGGCGTGTCCCCTTGCATGGGGGATTTCCGACGAAAGGATAAAACATGCTCAACAGATATTCCAAAGCGGTCAAAACAAATACCCCCCCAAAAATAGTCCCCGTAGTTTTTTTTGGTGACCATTCTGGAGTAGCCCTCCTGCAGAGGGACAGGGCCCGACCGAACACAACGGGAGCCCTCCCGTGGCGATGCCGCGTGCGTGCGCGGGGGGCGGTCGGGGCCACCTCGCGCGCGCGCCTCTTCCGTGCGCGCGGGCGGAGCGGTGGCCGGTCGGGCCCCGCCTCCGTGCCTCGCCCCTCCTCGGCGGGCGGTCGGCGCGGGCGGCTGCCTCGCCCCCTTGGTGCCGGAGGCGGAGGGGGCGAGCGGGCTGGCCGGGAGGGGATCGCCTGCCTCGGCGGCGAGCGAGGGGGGGGGAGGCGAGGGGGAGGAGGCCTTCTCAGAAGGCGGCGGGACTTCTCACCTGCACGAACGAAATGGGCGCTGAAAGAATGGGTACCATACCCAACAGCGGATCTTGTTCATTTTGGACAGGATTCGCTGTCCACGCCGCCGCGGCCTGTGTCCATTCGAGACAGAGGGCCGCCTGCCCAACAGCGGCCGCTGTTGGTTTGGGGCAACATTTGCTGTTGGGCATTGTACCCATTTTTTCGGTACCCATTTCGGGCGTCCAAATCTCAGAAGCCCTCGCGGCTTCCGAGGAGCTCTTGTCTGCCTTCGGGGAAGGCTTGCAGCACTTCTCAGAAGGCCGGGGGACTTCCGAGCCTTCTGAGGAGGCCTTCTTCTTCTCACTTCTCTCCCTCGCTCGCCGCCGGCTAACAGCCTCATGCGTTTGCCGCGCTTGCGGGTCTCGGTTCATGGGCTGGTTATTGGCACCCGTACCTATACGGCCCCAGATTTGTCCCAGCGGGCTTCTGTAAGGGCCATGGGTGTGTGTTGTCGGATTCGGATTGCAATCCCTGCTCGCACGGGGGCCCCCTTCGGGGTGCGAACACCCGCGCCCGTACCTCTAGCGCAGCCTTACAACGCGAGGCGCGGGTCAGCCTCATTATGAATACGTGTGTGTGTGTGTGTGTGTGTGTGTGTGTGTGTGTGTGTGTGTGCTGTCTGTTCGTCTTCAGTCGCGTGAGCCAGAAGGCGAGGCCGCAGGGAACCTTCTCAGCCAGCAAGCAGGGCACATTCCTGAGGCGGGCCAGGAGCGCCTGGAATGGCGCGTGCATCTTTCAGAAGGGGAAGATACACAGATACAAGTAGACGTCGATTCCCAGGAACATAGTTATGGGAGAATATGGGAAGTGGAGGGGAAGCCGAGTCCAGAAAACATGGAAACTGTAAGGGATCCTGGGATTAGTGTTCATTTAATCGCTTCGCTCGCTCCGCCGGCCCATTTATCATCACGGTGGTTGCATGGTGCTGTGCTCGTACCCATGGGGAATGGTAAGGCAGGCTGGATTGTCCTCGATGAGATCTTTGGAGATGTGGCTCGCACCCTGTCGAAGAGAGCCGATATCGGGCGCCAAGATGGCTCAAGAGAGCTCCAGCAGAGTTTCGAGATGTACCTGGGTTGTGGGTCAGAGTCCTGATGGATGCCTCTTGGGGTCTCTTCGGAGGGGTCTCGGGAGCCTCTGGGGGGCAGTTTTGATGCCTCTGGGGAGCCTCTTGGGGGCTTCTCAGGGGCCTCTTGGTGCTTCCTGGGGCCCTGTTGGGGGGGGGGTCTTAGGAGCCTCTTTTGGGGCCTTTTGGGGGCCTCTTGGGCCTCTTGGGGGGCTCTGTGGGTTTCCTGGGCGACTCTTGGGGCCGAGAGCTCGAAATGTCTGCTCGGGTTCCCTCTTTAGGGGGCCTCCTCTTGGGGCCATCTTGGGGCCGTCTTGGAGGTCTCTTGTGCCTCCTTGGGCCCACCTTGGGCAATTTGGGGAACCTCTTGGAGGCTTTCTGTATCGTTTTGGAGCGATCTTGGAGCCTCTTGGGCAATCGAGGGCGGTCGGCAGCTCGAAAAGGCGGTATTGCCCAAATCGAACGAAAACTCAAGCAACATCAATGACTTTTGCGTCTTCGGGGCCTCTCGAAGTCCTCTTGGAACCCTCCTGGAGCGTCTTGGGCGCTTCTTGGGCCATCTTGGGACCAACGTGGACCATCTTGGAACGCTCTTGGCCTGAGGCCGTGGGGCGTGCCACCCTTGTGGCGCCTCATTGGGGCGCTCGGAGGGAGTTCTGGCATCTCGGATCCGACCTTGCCGGGACCTTGCCGGGACCCTGCCGTTTTTTTTGTTTCCGTCCGCGGACCCTCAGGGGCTGCCGCGTGCGCGCGATCTAGAAATATTATTGCATTTTTACCAGAGATTGTAGCACGATTCTGGCCTGTGGGGCTGGCGAATTCATTTGTGTGTCCTTGGGCTCCTGTAGTCCCGGGCTTGGCTCTTTGATGAGGGGCTCACGGCCTTCTTCTTTCCGCCTGTGTGGCAAACGCCCAGGGACCGAGTCACTCGGCGGCGAGCGAGGGGGGGGGGAAGTAAGAGCGGGCAGGACTTCTTAAGAGGCGGCGGGGCTTCTCAGAATCCTTGCGGCCTTCTGAGAGGTTTCGGCGTTTTTGGGGAAGGCTCAGACTACTTTTCAGAACACCGGTGGACTTCCGAGCCTTCTGAGAAGGCCGGCCCCTTCTCTGATGGGCCGATTTTCCACCACCACGATCACATTTAGGAGAGGGAGGAGTAGGAGGAGGAGGAGGAGGAGGAGGAGGAGGAGGAGGAGGAGGAGGAGGAGGAGGAGGAGGAGGAGGAGGAGGAGGAGGAGGAGGAGGAAGAGGAGGAGGAGGAGGAGGAGGAGGAGGAGGAGGAGGAGGAGGACGAGGAGGAGGAGGAGGAGGAGGAAGAGGAGGAGGACCTCCAAATCCTCCCTTCTCCCCCATCCTCCCTTCTCCCCCGGCCCATGGCAGTGGTGGTGGAAAGTTTACCCATCATTCTCACTCCCCCCTGGGCGCGCCGCCGAATAAAGCAGGTGAACTCGTATTTCGCCTGATGCGCTGGGGGGCCTTCACTGGCTATCGCATCGCAAGGAAAAGAAATGAAAGCAAGGGCCCGACACACACGATCCGTTGCAGGCGCGTCGGCGGATCTCATTGCATTTCTCGTGGTCATCGCGTATCCATTCGCGCGCGGCGAAGATTCTGTTGGGGTCAAGGGTGTGATTCTCCAGTCCTTGGGATTCTCACGTGGGACATGCTTTTGATTCTACCTATTTTCTCACCTCTTTCCTGCCTCATCCTGCTCCATGCCCTTCTCCTTCTCTGTCGCCGCCCTCTTCCTTGCCCCCGCTCTCACAGAAAAACCGCCATAGACGTAACTTGTGGCGCTCCGCGCGGATTTCTTGGATCCGCGTCCCCCGGCGGCGCCTCCGGCGCCGCCCCTGGCGCGCGGAGCGCGCCAGGGAGGGGGGGTCCAGCGCAGATCCAAGAAATCCGCGCGGAGCTCCAAAAGTCTACGTGCTTATGCCTTTACTTTTGTTCCTCCAGAGGTGCCCGAGGGCAAGATCACCAGAGTCAACTGGTCCGTGGACATCAGGACCGGCTCTGGGGTCGGGGAGTCCCGCTCCTGCGTGTCTCGCTGTCTCCGGGGGTCTTACCAGTTTGAAGCACATCCCCATCCCTGTGTTTGACGTCACCTCACCTCGATACCGATCTTGAGGATTCCCTCAGTTTCTGAGGGCCTATCCCTAAGATGAGCCCCGCTTTTTGCTCGCCCATCTTAGGGATAGGGGTGCGTTCGAGGCTGGTTCGGGTCGCGGGCGCGGGCAGCCTGCTCTGGCCTGCTCTGGCCAGGGCCCGCGGGCCGAGGAGTGGCGCCCGACCGCCTGGGCCTGGCCAAGCCGGGGGGCCATGCTCCTCCTCCTCCTCCTCCTCCTCCTCCTCCTCCTCCTCCTTCTCCTCCTCCTCCTCCTCCTCCTCTCCTTCTCCTCCTCCTCCTCCTCCTCCTCCTCCTCCTCCTCCTCCTCCTCCTCCTCCTCCTCCTCCTCCTCCTCCTCCTCCTCCTCCTCCTCCTTTCCGCCCCCGAAGGTAGCCCGTCGCCTAGAAGACGGGGTCCGCTCTCCACGCCTCCTCCGGGGCGAGCGCCGGCCTGGCGGAGGGAACAAAAACACGCAGACACAATTTGATGTGTCCCAGGGCCCCTTCGCATGCGTCTGGTTCTGCGGGCCCGGTTGGCAAATTCGGCGGGCCTCGCCGGGTTCCTCACAGCTTCGGCGAGGCTGGGACCCTTGCCCGGAAGGGGGGGGGACCGACGACTGTTGAAGACACGAGAACATGAAGACCGGGTCGTTGGCCCGACGACATGAAGACATGAAGACGTGAAGATCGGGTCGTCGGGCCGACGACATGAAGACATGGAAACGTGAAGATCGGGTCGTCGGGCCGACGACCTGAGGACATGAATGCACGATGATCAGGCCATTAAGTCTCCTCGTCTTCAGGACGTGAGGCCGAGATCCCACCACCTCATGCAGGAAGGGATCCGTCTGCATGTCTTCATGTCTTCAGGTCGTCAGGCCCTCCCCTTCGCCTCTTCCTTCAGCTCCTCTCCTGGTCTGGTCCTGCTCTCCAGTTTTTCTCTTCTCCCACCCGCCCCCTCATCCCCTCCTCGTCGTCCTCTTCTTCCCCGTTCTCGTCATCGTCGTCGTCATCTTCCTCCCCCTTCTCCTCGTGTTATCCTCCTGTCCCCCGTCTCTCCCGTCACTCCCCCCCCTCTTCCTCCTCTCTCCATCTCCTCTCGTCGTTTTCTTGGCGCTAAACTCTGGTGGCAGTCAAAACAGACGACGAGTGAAAGGAGGAGGAGGCGGAGGAGGAGGAGGAGTAGGAGGAGGAGTAGTAGAAGGAGGAGGAGGAGAAGCAGGAGGTGGTCTGTGTCTGAGAGAGAGGGATTGGGACCAGGAGGAGGGGAGGAGGAGGAGGAGGAGGAGGAGGAGGAGGAGGAGGAGGAGGAGGAGGAGGAGGAGGAGGACGATGTTGGAACATACCCTCCCTCCAAGCACTCACTCCACATGCTTTTACAACGGTTCATTTCCAGTGAGGAACTGCCTCGTTGGAAGAAGACCGTTTGAAGACCCTGAAGCATGCCAAAACATTTTTCTCGGAATTCCAACGCAACGGATCAACCTGACTGGTGCCTCTTGATTATCCTGAATCGCGCCAGAAAGACATTCCTGGGACTCCAACACCGCGAATCAACGTAACTGTTGCACCCTCATAATCCTGAATCCTTCCGAAACACCATTTCTGCTACATTGGATCATGGAAATGTGTGAAACTCTTGTAGATGTTTAAAACGAGTGTGCGCGGTGCTAGGGGGAGAGCCACATTTTGAAAAGGAACCGCCTCCTTTCCGTGAAGCTCGTGCAATTATTATTGTGAGCGAATGTACGCGGCGCTAAGGCGAGAGCCACATTTTGAAACCGGCCCGCCCTCAATCCTCGTAGCTCTTGCAATTATTTCAAAAGACTGTGCGCGGCGCTATGACGAGAGCCACATTGTGAAAACGGCCGCTTTCAATACATTTTTTAAACAAGTTTTCAATCGGATGTACGCGGCACTAAGGCGAAAATCGCATTTTGAAAACGACCCGCTTTCAATTTGTGAATTGAGGCCAATGTTTAAGCTTCAGGGTCATAAGTGTTGAGGAAGTCTCAGACGAAACGCCCGGCCCGCCCCAAAAACTTGCCTCGGGGTGCGACAGGGAGAAGTTATTGATATGGAAAAGGAATTGACGAGGAGGAGGAGGAGGAGGAGAAGAAACAGCCAGAGAAGGAGGAGGATGAGGAGGAGGAGGAGGAGGGGCGAGGAGGTGGAGGAGGAGGTGGGGGAGGAGGGTATAGTGTTTTGCTTTCGGATGCCCACTTGGTGCGGATAACTAAATGAAGGCTCTGACTTCCCCGGTTGCGTGCCCCCCTGGAGCCCTCGAGCTTTCGACTCAGGCCATCGATCCTCCGATATCTCGAGTCATCGATGCGGATGAAGAGACACATATTACGTCTCCCATCCAACCCGCGCCCAACCTTGACAGAGCCCCTGACGCGAGTTGTTCGCAGCCCGTTTGTCTCGAGGGGTTTAGGCCGACGGCACCTGCTCAGCAAGAAGCAGCCATGTGCTCCTGCGAATCTGGTGCCTTGGCAGCGCCCACAAGGGAGTTGTCGCCAGTGGTGTGGGCTTCTCCGAAGGCGGCGGGTCTTCTAGGAAGGCAGGCGGGCTTCTTAGAAGACAGCCCTTCTCCTAAGAAGCCTTGTCCATGCGGGCTTTTGCCTTGCAAGTTGCCCCTCCGCCTTCTTAGAAGGTCGCCCCCCTTGCGCCACCACCTAATGGGCGCCGCCAAGTGTCGGCGCACCATGTCTGACGGAGCTGCTCGCGCGGAGACCGTCGCGGAGTCGGAGAGGATCCCCTTCGCGGACACGTCCTGGGGCAGGCCAGGCGCGCGGAGTGCTCCAAGATCCCTGATTCAGAGGACGGCGAGTGGAGACAACAGCAGTTGGCGTTCGGGGGGCTCCCTCTTCGCCACGTCTGGGCACGGTTCGGGAAACTGGTGCGTTTGGAGCCCGGGAGGGGTCCGGGCGACCCCCGCATTGCTGCTTCCCGCTTCTCGGATGCAACTCCTGGGAGGTCAAATTCTGATTTTGCCCTGGTCCGAAATCCGGCTTAATCCCGCTTAATCCCGCTTAAACCGGCCTGATCCCAGTTCATCCCGCTTCATCCGGCTTAATCCGAGGCCCACTCCGGCGTAACAGCCCCCCAATGGGGCTTAATCCTCCTCAATCCTTCTGACGAAAACCTCCCAGTAGTTGCCTCCTGACCGCTCCCCGCTCCCGTTGTCTC